TTACATATAAACTAATATTTCCAAATTTTAAAATATTACAATTTAAATATATGCTTTCCTATTTTATTACTGATAGTTATAGTAGACAGTGTAAACGTCAACTTTGAAACAATCCATCATTTAGAATTATACTAATAGTAATAAAGTACTTACTGAAGAAGGGATTACAAGACTTTAAACAAAAAGCTATGCATATATATATATATATATATATATATATATATATATATATGATCAATTATTAGATTTATAATTAAAATGTAACATTTCGCTACCAGTTATATATCATTCTCATGTTAAACATTTTGGTGGAGTTTTATTCTCTGAGCTGAATGGTTTGGCGCTGATGAAGTTTGTGCTGATAATGTCGTTCAGAAGAACGATGAAAGCTCCACGACCAAACCATCCTTCTCAAAGAACAAAACTCCATCAAAATCATCCCCCTGAGCTACAAATCTCCACCATTTATAACTTTCTTACATTGGAACTGTAGTGAAATAGTCCGTTTTTAATGGTTGTCTAGCTAAAGTCAACCAATACAGTGAACTATATTTGAACTGAACTAATCAGCTACAAATCTGACACACTATTAGTAATAATATGTTGGCTAGTTACTAACTAGAAGAATTCATAATCGATAGGGTTTAGAAAAACAACTTAAAACATAGAAAAATTAGAAAATATTTAAATGATCCGAAGAACAAAACTCCATCAAAATCATCCACCTGAGCTACAAATCTTCTCCACCATCTCAATTAGAAATTATTTTTATCATGAGCTTTTATCAATTAGAAAGTCATTAAAACTCACTAAACCTGGAACATCTAAAAATCAAGGTCATCAGCGGATTCCTTGGTCTTCAAGGTTTATGCTTACCACAAAATCTAAGTATCTTACGTCTGAGCTTTGCTTAATTTCTTATAGGCGCATGCTAAAAAGAGTTTCCAGAATTGATGAGATAAAACAACTTTCATTGTTTTTTAACTACTCAAATAAACTGTGATTTTATGATGAAAATAAATCGTTGAAAAATAATTTATAGAATACTCCGAAAATCTATTTCTTTATGCCACAAATGATAATATAAAGGAAGAACTGATCTATAGAAATTGTTTTACCGGTTTGACGATGTATTCGAACAAACAATATATATATATATATATATATATATATATATATATATATATATATATATATATATATATATATATATAAACAATGAGTATATATGGGTAGTGGATAGCAATGAAATCCAGGACGATACAGGAAGATACAAGTAAAACAACACCATTTGAATCTAAAACTTCACCCCATTGCACAATTAGGTGGCTATCAGGACTCAGTAACTAAGTGGATAAGGAGATAGAGTTTGAAGTGAACGTTACTGGGTTCGAATCTCAGAGTGAACATTGACCCTAGGATGCAGGTACATCCAGCTGATGCGTGCCAAATAGAACGAAACACATGTCCTGGATTTCACTGCTAGCCACTATCCATCTTTGCTTATAAAGCTTGTGACTTAAGGCAATATCAAGGCGATTCGCACAAGATGAACATATACCAACAAGAGACTGATCAATTACAGTTTTATAAAATAAAAACAACCCCAAGTAAATATAAAACAACGAGTGATAATTTAAACATTAAGGAAAAAAAAATCGGAACATACGTACAGATAGGAGAATATGAATAATAATAATAATTATGATGACTTAAAAATTTTAAAGCGCAAAAATTAATTTCAAAATATTTGATGAATCCTTCATTTTGATTGGTTAAAAATGAATAAAAGAAGTATTGGGAAAAAAAAATTTTTTTATAAATTCTAACAACCAATCAAAGATCAATTATTGTAAACGAAATATTTGTTTAACTAAAATACACTACTTATTACATATATTTACATATGTATATTATATAATCTCCACTTGTTTAGCAACTCATTCGTAGACAATCAAAAAAGGAATAATAAGTGTACATAAGATGGATGATATAAAAAATGTAATTAAATTTGTTTTTCAATAATGATTAAATTTTTATTTTAGTATGTGAATAAATTGAAATAATTTAATTCACTCTAAGATGGATAGTGGTTAACAATGAAATCGATGACAAGTGTTTCGTCCTATTTGGGACTCATCGGCTGGATGTACCTGCATCTCAGAGTTGATGTTCACTTTAAGACTTTAACCCAGTACGGTTTGCTTCAAATGCTATTGCATTATCTATTTAGCTATTGAGTCCTGATAGATATTTGCTTGTGAATTAAGGCAATATCTAGGCAATCCGTACAGGATGAACATATGTCAACAAGAGACTGATCAACTGCAGTCCTAAATAACAATGGGAAGATTTAAGTGAATAATACCAAGTGAATTTATAGTTGACTTCGTTTTGAAAAAAGAATCACTTATGAAGACCCTGACTGATGATGAAACATTACATTTTACAACAAACAGTACAAATCTAAATATATATTATTAGGAATCTATTATATCATATATTTACTTGATATATGGTGTAGAAACTCAAAAGTTTAAAACGAATCCATTTTACTTGTTTAGAATTCCTGTAAAACAAGCCCGGTAAGAGTAGAGGATATTCGTACGTTACTAGTATTCTATCATAGATGTCTTCGAAACATCGCTTGTATATCCTGGGACCACCGGATAATTAACTCAGTTGTTAAGAAAAGGGTAATAGGTAAGGATGGCAAATCAATTGATGAAGTAATGAAACTTCATCAGTTGAGATAGCTGGGACATGTGTTACGTATGCCCAACCACTGACTGCCCTGACGTGCGATGTTTTATGGTGTAGGAGTAGGTTGGAAGAAAGCTATGGGCGGCCAGACCAAAACATGGCACAAATTTATGAAGTCACTGACAAATGGACTGAGTCATGTTGGTAGGTGTAAACTATCTGGTTGGGATTCGCGAGATGATGGTAATCAATGGTTAGAGACCATGAATGACATGGCTCAAAATCGTTTCAATGGAGCAGGTGCATCTACTCTTTGTGTTCTCCTAAATTCTAATATTCTAAATTCTTTATTCCCTTTTTTTCTCTTTCCGAATTTGTTTCACTGAATTATACTTCCTGAGTAACATCTTCAAACCCTAATGTTTCTGATTACTGCTTATACTTTTACAACCTCTACCACTACGGGATTTGAATCGACAACTTCATCTCTGTGGTAATGTTGTATGGCAACTCGAACTGATGTACGAACGTACGAAGTTCTACGTTGTTACTGACTGACTGACTGAATGATAAGTACTAGTAAAATTTAAGACTAATACAATTACACTTGAAAATCAACTGAACAGAACTTTAAAATGTTTATTGAATAGATTTTCAATATAATTGTGATAATTTCCTTTGTAGAACTTTGGATTATCTAAAAAGTAGGTTAGATACAATATAAAGTAAGATCACGCATTTTTCCTTTTATTTGGTAATGATAGTATATTTGCTTTTCTTTTCAATTAGTTTTTTCATCGTAGCTAACCACTCTCGCTATATTGGCCATCGGTACAGGGAAGTTTGTAACAGAACTTTGATAAACTATTTTCATATTTCTCCCATTTTTGTATTTTTGTATCTTACTTGTTCTCAACATTTCGTCTCTTGATTCTTACATAACTACTATACTACTGATCATTCATTAAAATATTTTGTTAGTTCCTTCTTCACTTTTTTCTATATATTATACAACGTAGCAACTATTTGATTTTCAAATAATTACCTCGATTATTATTAATCCTCTTTCCTCCAATTAATCTATGTTAACTTATAATCGATACTTCGTCAATTATTACGTAACGTATATATATATATATATATATATATATATATATATATATATTAGTGTAGAGCCATGATGAACAACTAATTGAAAAGAAATTTTTTCACCAGTATTGGGGTTGTGGAGATTATTAAGTTTTTGACTGAGATCATGAACCGACTGATGTTAGAGCACCGTCGGAAACCTGGAAGCACTGAACGGCTTTTTCATCCTAGTATGGGAACTCCTCAACGGTGCGCATTCACGATCTAGCTCGCGGGATTCGAACCCAGGCCTTCAGTCTCACGCGCGAACGCTTAACCTACTGGACCACTGAGCCAGCATCGTGGATTGGTTAATGTTAGACACTAAGACCATTAGGTGCCGGCTCAGTGGTCCAGTAGGTTAAGCGTTCACGCGCGAGACTGAAGGCCTGAGTTCGAATCCCACGAGCTGGATCATGAATGCGCACTATTGAGGAGTCCCATATTGGGACGAAACAGCCGTTCAGTGCTTCCACGTTCCCAAAGGTGGTCTAACACCAATCGGTTCATGATCTCAATTAGAAATTCCTTCACTCAATTCATTCCTTCTTTATTTACCAAATGTTAAAATGGGAATTTTCACTATATTTTTTTTACAAAAAAAACACACTTCAGATCCACACATGTTTCTAGTTACTTTAAAAGTATGTTGAAATTATAAGGTTGATAAAGTAATAGAACTTTATAAAAAAATAAACATTATAGAATAACTGTAGCTAGCAGTAGAATGTATTGAACAGCTGTTTTTGCCCCGGTATAGATCATCTCACTGGTTAACACACAAAAAAACACACCATAGACAAAATCAAGAACATTTGCTCAATACTGAGAGAGTATTAACTTTAGATCATTAAGCTAAATGATCTAATTCAATTCGGGTTGTAAATATAGACTGGACAAACTTCATAAACATTCTGTTTTTAATAATGTTATTATCTTATAAGTGTAGTTAAATTTCTTATGAATATTACTTCAGAATACATGTTGTGTGTCTTCGATGAGATGTGATTTACTTTTAATTATAGAAAGTGTATTTCAATGGTTTTTACTGTGGTTCATATTTCTATCCCATGTTATCATGTAAACATTACGTAACGGAAAATTTTTAAGCTTTATGAAGTCAACTTGGAAAACTATGACAGATTTAGACATATTACGTAAAAACTTACTTCATCTTCTTTGTTTAGTTGTTCTCCAGAATGATCCATATCACGTTCGTTTTCCTTCCTAAAAACAAAATTTAGTTGGTTCGTAACATTGTTAATTAATGCCAATCACACAATTATTGAGAATTAGGAACAACTGGAAAGTTGTTTAATCCACGAAACTGATGTATTCTCATACTTACTTACACATGTTGCCTCTCGTGGAGGAGCATAGGCCACCAACTACCACTCTTCATCCAACTCTGGGCAATCCTTTCCACTTCTTTCCAGTTGCTATTCGTTCTTTTGATGTCTGCTTTTAATTCCCAATTCAATGTGTTCTTCGGTCTTTTGTTGTTCTTCTTCCCTTTAGGATTCCAGGTTAGTGTTTGCTTCGTGACGCAGTTTGACGATTTCTGTAATGTATGTCCTATCCACTCCCAACGTCTTTTCCTAATTTCCTCTTCAGATAGCGGCTATTTTGACCTCTCCTGAAGTAGGCTGTTGTTGATGGTATCCTGTCAATGGATATTGAGTATCTTGCGTAGATAATTCTTTAGAAATATTTGTACCTTCTTGATGATGGTTGTAGTAGTTCTTCAAGTTTCAGCTCCATACAGTGGAACTGCGTTGACATTCACTCTGAAGATTTTGACTTTGATATTGTCTCGCAAACAGTTGTTTTGAGTTCCTTATGTTCTTCTATTATAAGAATGTTCCCCTTGCTTTGCAAATAATCACCTTTGCATTTTCATAAGACCCTCCTTATTCATCGACGATGCTACCCAGATACGTAAAGCTTCCCAGCTCTTCCAGAATTTCTCCATCAAGTGTGATTGAGTTGGTGTTCTGTGTTGTATTTGAGGATGTTAGTTTTCCCCTTGTGTTTGTTGAGGCCTATTGATGCAGAGGCTGCTGCTACACCAGTTGTCTTCATGTGTCTTCGTGTGTATGGGATAGAAGGGCTAGGTCGACTGTGAAGTCCAAATCATCTAGTTACGTCCAGGCTGTCCATAATATTCCCTTCTTCCCCTCAGATGTGAAGATCTTCATAATCTAGTCAATGACCGGAAGAAAGAGAAAGGTGAGAGTAAGTAGCCTTGTCTGACTCCAGTCCTCATTTGTAATGTGTCTGTTAGATGTCTTTCATGTATCACTTTGCACAGTAGTCCGTCTTATGAATTCCGTATGATGTTGAAAATTTTCTCAGCTACGCACGCCACAGTATCGACGAGGGTTCCATAATGTTCTTCTATCCATGCTGTCAAATGCTTTCTCATAATGAAGGAAGCTGATACACAGTGACGAGTTCCGCTCAACTGATTGTTCAAAATGATCCGTAATGTCGCGATGTGGTCTGTGTATAACTAGTCCTCACGGAATCTATCTTGTTGATGTTGAAGTTGAGCATCCACCGAATCTTTCATCCAGTTCAGCAACACTCTGTTGAAAACGCATCCTGGTACCAAAAGCAGTGTGATGCCTCTGTAGTTCTCACATTTGCTCAGATCTCTCTTCTTTATTGTCCTGATGAAGAATCCCTGTTTCCAATCTGTCAGTGACAATTGTCCTTCCTTCCAAATCTTTCTGAATAGAACGTGGATCATAGTTGCAGTCACTTATATATTTGGCTTCAGAGCTCCAGCTAGTATATTGTCAGTTCCTCTTGCTTTTCCACTCTTGATTTATATGATGGCCATCCTGATTTCTTCGATCGTTGATGGAGTGACATTTATAGGAAGGTCGGTGTGTGCTTCTTCGATGTCCGGCGGATTCAGTGAAGCTGGTCTATTCAAGAGTTCCTCAAAGTGTTCCACTCATTTTTTCCTCTGTTCTTGAATCTCAGTGATTGGCTTGCCTACTTTTTCCTTGACCGGTCTCTCTGTTTAACCATAATTCCCTAACAATTTCTTTGTTGTGTCACATAACTTTTTCATATTCCCTTCCTTTGCAGCTTCCTCCGCTATCGTTTCTAGATCTTTCACATATTTCTGCTTTTCGACTCTAATGCTCTTGTTTACTTACCTGTTTGCTTCTGTGTATTCAGCTTGTGCTTTGACTTTCTCTGTACTTGGTCGACTGTTGTGAATTGCTTTCTTCTCTTTCTTGCTTCCTTGAATCCAAAACAGGGTTTCCATGGAAAACCATTCCCTATGATGATCATTCTTGCGTTGAAGTTAATGCTTCATTGATCTCCGTTTATTTGTCCTCCATAGTTGATTCTTCTCTTTTGAGTACATCTTGTAAGGCTTGGAAAGTGTTGTTGAGAGCTATCCTGAATCTGTTGAGTCTGTCAGTATTTTGAAGGAAGGCTGTATTGAACCTTTGTAATGCTGATTGTCTAGCCATTCATTGATTTTTCAATTTCAGTTTTATCCTGGGAACCACCAGGTGGTGATCTAAAACTACGTCAGCTCCTCTCCCGATTCTCATGTCTTCCATTGACCTTCCGAATCTTTTAGTGATACAAATATGACCGATCTGATTCTGTGTAGTGTGATCCGGTGAGACCCATGTATCTTCATGGTGGGGTATTGTGCCGCCTACAACCAATTTATTCGATGCACATAAATTTGCGAATCTCTCAAAATCCTCGTCCCTTTCTCCTAGTCAGTCCATGTCGTCCCATGATATCTTCATATCCGGTGTCGTCCATTCCGACTTTGGCATTTAAGTTTCCCATCAGGATGGTCAGGTATTTTCCTGAGCACTTCACTAAGATTGATTTCAGACTCTCATAGAACTGATCTTTATCATTGTCAGTGCTATAATTGAAACGTGCATAACATTGGATAACATTCATTGTGATTCTCTCCATCTTTCTTTTGAAGAATGTTTTGATGATCCTGGATCCGTGAGATTCCCATCTTATAAGTGTATTCCATGCTTCTCTGAACAGGAACACTCTGAGTGTGTAGAGCATTTAATTCTTCGTGACCAGAGTACAGCAGCACCTCTCCCGAATCCATCTTTTTCTGTCCAGCTTGGGTTCAATGGGTTTCACTGATTCCGAGCACTGTCATATATCTTCTTACTTCCCTAGCTATTCGATTGGACCTCCGTGTCTCTCACATTGTCGGAACGTTTTGTGTACCTAAATTAGTTGTTACTCTAGTTGTTAGAAGAGGCATCAACCTCGTAACTTCTGAAGAATCTCGGTTTTCATCGTGAGGTTTAATAATTCCTCTGAATGAAGTTCATTCAACTAGGAGGACAAAGTCCTAATGGTTTAATCTATTTGTTCTGGCTAACGCTATTTTAGCAAGGTTGTTTTCTACAACATGGAGTTGGTGACTCCGTGTCCAACTGTCCTATTTTACCCAGTTTTGGGACAGACAATAACCGTAGCGGAGCTACAGGCGGAGTTGATGTATTCTCATAGTTTGTGCATAAGACATTTATGTAACATCTACTCTGTATTACTTAGTTTAGAAGTGAAACTCCTGAAGTTTTAACGAGGATCAGTATTCTTTTAATGTAACATAATCATAAATAGAGCACTACGCACCGAAGAAAATAATCTTCAGGAAACATGAGGATCTTCGATATTAGTCAAAACACCTATTTGGTGTTTGCTTGTTTCAATGATTTTCATATTGACTAAAGTTTGGAGTGAAAATTAATTCCACGAAACACGAAATATTAACAAAGCCACTCAGTTCAATAGTATACTATGACTATTAATTTACGTTATCCTTCCATTAGGAACATTTTCACTTCTCAGTATACAAAAGAATTATGAGCTGTTAAGAAACGACCTACTCAATCATATTTCAGTAGCTTAAAAAATTAAAATAAAATGTGAGGTCTGGATTTCAACCATTAAGTTTTTGATATTTTTTCAACATTAGCTGTCTGCCTAAAGTAATAATTTTCTAATTGTTGCGGTAATTTTACAGACTATCCACTTACATAAACACTGGATAAAATGTGCATCACTTTTTTATGGCAATTAAAAGTTCTCGACTGAACAAATCCACATAAATGCATACGTATCAAAACTTACATTACGTTAACTAGTTTTCTATCTCTGTAACCACGATAATTTGCTTGAATTCGAGTTGCTGCATTTTCTTCACGTAGGTGTTCAGTTTCTTGGCTAGCTAAATGTCTACGATATTCTGCTTGAATACGTACAGCAGCCTCTTGATGTTCAGTATTATTAATGTTGCATGTACCAGTCTTTTAGTTATTTTGTATAACAAAAAAAAAAAACATATGAGAAATTAAAAAATAAGGGGAATCCTGTTTAAACTACTTAGAAATATAAAATACATGGTCATTCATTTAAAAAATCAATGCAGATAAGTTAACATTTCCATTACATTTTTCTCGTCATTCAATTTAGCAGAAGTCAGTGGAGACAAAATTGAGAATTGCAGTTGCCGAGTCGGAAATCACGCAATAATGTTTCATGTCTTTCTTTTTGGATTCAAATATAAAATTCAGAGAGTGAAAATATACCTTCCTGACTTTATTTCAAACTGTGTACAGAAAATTTAAAGTAGTCATAGAAACGTATTAGATTTAGTCCTATTATGGATAAACATACACCGTTTTGATTATTTACGAGCACTACTCAAAGGATAATTGACGAATGATCGATACAAAAAGGCTTTCACCGTTATAGATAGATCAAATGCTTCAACCATCTGAGGGGGGCTTGGTGAGGAATTACTCGATCGATTAGGGTGAGGAAGCTATTGATCATTTCAATAGTCTGTGACAAGCAACCAGATCATAAGGAGTAATTATGTGGCTTAATCAATTAGTTGTATTTGTTGGATAAACAGGTTTAATTGTATGATATCTTGAATATATCTTCACACAGTTACGTTATTGACTAAACGATGTTAAATACCACTCAGTTCAAGGTATACAAATATGACTGCAAATGATTAAAATGAAAAGTAGTGTATTCATGCGTCATTTTAGTTTGTTTCGGGGATCAAGTAAATTATTTGTGTGCCTACTTGCGTCATCTGATTCACGGTTTCCAAGAACCAAGTCAGTTAAGCGTCTTGTGAACGCATAAAAAAAATAACATCGTAAAATTTGCAATCTTGTTCAACAAACCAATAATGTTTGATGATATTTAAGTTAAAGCACATTCCAACATTAATAACAACCATAAACTCAAGATCCAAGCCAATAATAGCACTAACGGGTTTATACCTAATGTAACGTTGAGTAAAATATGAGCAAAGTTAACTAAACATATTGTTGTAATAGCAGTCATATAAATTCAAAGAAATAGTGTATTACTCTTGTATATTCAAACACGAGACACTTTTTAAATATGTTATCAACAACTAATAAATTTTACCGATTCTAAATTCAAAACTACAAAACCATCTACATTGTTGCCAGTCTGTAACAACTTTAGTCCTGTTATAAGTTAAATAAACGTTAAGATCAACCTGCATATTTTACTGTGAAAGCAAACATCGTAACACTGTTCACATTTTATGCTCTTCAACAGCCTACAAGTCATAAAGAAAACTGTATTTTCAAAGTATCCTAAATTACAATAATTATTATATTCATGAACCACCTAATATTATGAGCCAAACTATTGGGTAAACCGTATCACTTTTGAGTTTTTTTCAAACCAGTAGAGAATGACACTCTGAACCTTTGTTTACTCTATTAGATATTTTCAAAATAGTTTCGCTAATGACTTAAACATATCAGAAGATTTACCATACATAATGAACAATACTCGACCACTCGGCTTGACAAACATATATGGAAGGAAGTCAAGTCATAAACAATGCTTTCAGAACTTCAGAGAGACTACTGGTGAAAATTGCAATCATCTTATAAAGCCTCAGAATAACTTTGTTGATATTCGACAATAATGCTGACCTTGCTAGTACTACAAACGTCACTAGCCAAAAGTGCTCAGTCAAACATCATGGCCACCTCAATTTCAATATTTCTCTTTCATATATCCAGTTTGTTGGTGTCACACTCACTAATTTCCACCCCCATAGAAACATCTTGTTTTTACCAACGGTTGTCGTCCCCTTCTGCTTATTATCTGAGTGGTATACCTGAAGAATTCTAATGTCAGCACAATATGGTTCTGTATAAAAAAATGACTTGATGGAAGTGCATCTCAGATATTATATTCGGTCAATATGCACATACAATCACAATACAAGAAGAGATCGTCTATACATGAACGTTTACTATCCACATTGTCTTGTACTACTAGAATTCTCTGCTAGAGTATGTAGCATCGGGACTTTCTACTGTCACATAAAAATGAAATCCGATCTTCATCATACGACATAAACCATCCAGGTTCCTATTCGTATAACTAAAAGTAGAGAAATCTCAAGAAAAATGACTTCAACAGAGTCAAATAACGCTCGAAATGTACTCAGCCTATTAACAAAAGATAGTAAACGAAACTATCTTATAAAAAATAAGCCTTTTCCAATATCTAGTTATGATAATCAACGGTTCGCCGCATTAACTAGGTTGGTCATATGAGTGATTTTAAATAAAGACTTAGTAAAAACCAATACATTGTTTTATATGTATCTATCCCAAAAATATGCCAATAAATATCATATTAGTCACCCTAACCCCATTCTGATCTGAAAAAGCAATTTATATTCAAAGCGTTAACAAAACCATGTCCTGCGACCACCATATTTGAGGCATAGTTTGATCTGAAATTATTTTAGGAGCCAAAGCCTAGAACTACATGTAGGTAGAGTTCACAAAGAACGCTAATAGTAAATCCACCTATTTCATTAAAACATTTTGTGCAGACTTAAGAAGCGTACAGTTGTATACTTCTGTACGGTAAAATCTGAAAGCATTACTCTTACTGTTGGACAGGGGTCTTCGAAAACTATGATAAATATGACTGATTCCCTTGAAAATCACAAACTTTTCATTGAAATTTTAGTTTAAAAATGAAGAACACAGCTTACACAATACGCTTTGCTGTTATAATACCGATCATTTAGTTTTGCGCCAAGCTGAGCCAAATCTTCAGTCCCAGTTTCTTAATATAAGTTTGATGGAATGTCAGCGATAATACCTTCTCTTTTTAATAGCAACCCTTCAAAGTATTTAGCACCAAAACCATAAATATCTTTCGGTTGGTGTCTTAAAACTTCCCTCGCCAAACCTTCCAATAAGTTTGGAAAACCATGTGGAACTCTCAATGTTGTATTCGAAAAAGGCACAGCCATGTTTTTTCAAATATTAGCAGTTTCTATGACTCTATTGAGTAGTTCATCATAGATCATTTAAACAAATTATTTATACCTCGTGACGTTTGATCACTAAGATGCAGCACAGCAGTTGAGATAGTTTGTTTGGTAGTGGGCATAATAGAAGGCGCTCCGGCCGAACGGGATTCTGTATCTAGCTGCAGTGGATCACAGATCCCCCCATTCTTCAGTGGTTAGGATAACAGGTCAGTTGAGTTATGTTAAACTTTACAATTTGTAGCACTGTAAAGATGGAATCTCACTTTGAATGTGTTAACGGAATTAGCTGTTACTACATGTTCTAGTACAGTATTCCAGTGGCACGTCCTCTTATGTCAGTAGAAACTTCGGACACTTTCCTCCAAACACAGTGTACTGTTCTCCTCTAGTGGGTTCGAATACAGACAAACAGTTATCCAGCTGTTAGTGTTGACGATGATCAGCTTGTTAAGTAGATGCTGAGTTGGAATAGAGTCAAAGCAGAAGTATGATTCAGAAAAGCGCAAGTGACAAACATCTTACCCTTTTCCACGATGAACATCATGTTATGATTCAGAACAACAGTAGCGTTTGTAAGCAAACCGATTTGGATCAATGTGCTTTCTGAATGCAGATTGAAGTTGCAGTGTTAACAATATTTTTGTCGTTTCGAAGTGGAGTTATTGCATTCTTATCGTCAGACACTTTCTTAGGTATTTGGATTATCTTCACCGTTCTCCACATTTTCGGTATGAGATTAGTTGGGAAGGATCTGTTAAAGGATCCTGTACGTGGATATTTAGTGTATCAGCATACTTCTTCAAAATAACATTTGGGATTTCACCACATCCTAAGCATTTAGACGAATTAAGTGACTGTAGACATTTTCACACACATCAGTTTCATGGAAAATTGGAACCCGGCTATTTTTCAGACTTGTTGATTTAAGAAGCATGATATCTAATAACTGGCGCACAAAAGAATTAATTGTGCCGCAAACATTCAGCTGGTTATCGTTTCTAATGTGTCGCTCACCTGTTAGCTCCTTAAATAGATTCCACATACTTGGAGAGTTTTTACGAGATAGAAGCTTCTGAGTAATCACTGAGCTAAGACGTCTAATCTCTGGGTTTATTAGACAATTTAGCTCTCTAAATTCAGAGAAGCTTTTCTTCTTGTACATTTTTTCTTCTACGCTCCGTAATCATTTTAGCTGCAGAAATGTAAGTTGATCAAAACTAATAAAACTTGTTTTAGTGGGACAACAATTATCAAACAAAATTTAAGATAATAAGCGATAATGTCAACGACATTTTCCAATAACTCTTCTGTAGATAATTCTCACCTTACCGTACGAAACATGCTTTTCATATTTTGAACATTTTCTTTCCAGCGATTTCTGTACTTGACTTTCTTTGTCTGATTTAAGTGTATAATCTTTTCAAGCTTGTTATATACTTTCGGTGATAACTTCTGAAATTTTGTAGCGTTACTAATCAATCGTCTCGCAAATCTTTTAACCGTATTTCCTGAACTGTGAATACACCGCAATCGCTCCTGCATAGGTTATGAGAATTATGAATATGATAATGTGTTGTACCTATGATTCCTAAGTATTTTGTGTTGAGACTGAGCTGGATCGAACATTTCAGAGTGTGTTCACGGGTGTTTAAGATGGCACACTGTGTTGATAATAAGTATTTGAACTATTACACGAACTAGGAATCCCAGAAATAACAACATTTAGACTGTAGCGTGGTGTCGAGTGGCGGTTGACTATGAACACCACTGCAAGAAGACTACGTGCCAGTTAACCGATAAGATCCTTGTAGGTCAATATCGGAAGGCAGATGATGGTTGTAGTCGAGATGTATTTGCTGGCGATCTCGTGATATCGAAAGAATACCGAGATCGTGCCAGATTTCAAGTGGGGTTACTCAGCATAACCAAATTCGTACAAGGTCAAAGTCAACGGGAGGAGAATAATGACTGTTAAACAGGCAAGCGCAGTAAAACAATCACTGGTACAATTGGTTATAATAATAGTTGTTTTCATTAAACCAATCGCGTTCTGTTGACAAAAGTAGGTCACTACAAGACCAAGAATAACTAACTGAGCACAAATGAACGTATTTTATTTCGAATTTAAAATCAGACACACATCAAGTAAAAAGGAATCATTAATCCATACAAACACCACATATGCATCATTAGAATGTCATCTCTGTAATTTAATAGATGGAGATTAATTGATTTTAGACTCGTCTAATAAGGTTTATGATGTGTGGGCGAGAATGATAATGATTGGTTGTCCGCTTAATCAGACATGTAGATAGTCTGACAGATGTCAAGTAATTTATATATCCCCTTATCCTTACTATTGTGACGCACTTATTATTGCTTGTTGATTGTAGCGGAATTTATTGGTTTTTGGTGTGAAAATAAATTTACGTTCTAGTCAGGCTAATTACGTGTTCATGATCTGGGTTGTGTTGAAGTCCTGTTGAATAGACACTGGGAGGGATCTAGTGCAGATAATCGTTTTAGACGAAGTGAATCGCGAGCGTTATAACAATTTACATGCAAGTCCTCGAACGGGTTTCATGGCTCTCTTTAAATACGTTTCTGTGTTGTTATCTCGTCAGTTGACTAGACTTTCAAGGAGAAAGATAGCTGGTTACTAAGCAGTTATGTTATCGCAATTGGAAGTTGTTGTTTGGTTAAACATTTATAATACCAAACTATTATTAGTGCTATGAAATCCAGGAAACAAAAATTTCACGAAGTTAGAAGTAATCGCCATGAACTGCAGCCACAAATATTCAATTTGTCCAAGTTGGATTAAATCATGCATTATGAATATTGTGTGTTGTTGATAATGTATTGGCATTGGCTTTAGACCACACGATCTTTAAAGCTGTGTGTATAAGTACTGAGAAGACTTTATTTCATCACTTAGCACGGAGAGAAGGTCAGAGATGGTGAAGGCGGAAACACTTAATCGGTGTGTTATGATTCGGCCATGAAGGCATGATCGCCCTCTGAAATTTCTTTTCTTCCAAATTAAATATATTATTTTGTTCCCAGCCCATATGTGCTCTCCAGAAGTGCTTAGCATATTGCTAAATTTTACGGTAGGGTATGTCAGCATAGATAATGATGGGACTTTCACGTAAGAACTTACAGATTGGGCGGTCATATAGAATTATTCTCTACTCCGGTATTAGTACATTTGTCTTTGTTACTGTAATAATAGACCAAATCCCAAAATCACAGATCTGTCATCATGTGACTGCCTGATCTATAAGACATTACGTGAAAGTCACATCATTGTCTATAGTCACTTGTCATATCATGACAGACAACAATGCGATTTTCAGTACTTCTGAAGGACACATTAGGGCTGGAAATCATATGAAATATGGATAGGGGTTTGTCACAAAGTCGACCACGTCTGCGGGGCTTAGCCACGCCATACCGATTAGTTTTTGCAGTGTTAACCATTTCTGACCTTCCCTTAGTGTGACGTGTTGAAAATAAATCTCAGTGATTATATACTCAGTTCCAAAGATCGTGTGGTTAGGGACCGAAACCACTACAGTAATATCATAGCAAATCTACAAGTTTGGTACCACGTGAATTGTTCTAGTAGCATTAAATACCGACCAAAACGGCAATCCAAAAACAGTTCAACTGGACTGCCTCTTATCCACAACAAACTAACCACCGTTACAGCTACTTAAAATGTATAAAAATCTGAAGTCGAACACACTTAAGCATTCCACGAAAGACCACTGTTAGATAGCCTCTAACTATTCAGGGAATCTTGAATTCCGCTCGTAACTAGAAAATTGAAGCAGTTGACACATATCGATGCCGTGCACTTTGTTGACATTTACCAAGTTTCACCATTTGTTTATTTGAACACATAGATATTGGCACAAGGAGGCACCAGGTACATATGCGCCACACAAATCTGATTTGATTCATGTGAGGGCCGTGATAATGCCTGGGCGCTCAAACCGAAGAAGATGGTTTTCTTCGAGGACCACATTTAGAGCCTTCGACCAAAGGGTCTGATCCTAAAGGCAGTGGAGCATCGTAGAGAGATGCAGTCCCATGGTAGTCGGTGACCAGCGGTTGGTTCACACTCCATTTGTTCCCTTATGATCCTGGAAACCATGTGCACCATTGGTTTGAAATGAAGGTTTTCCAACTCTCTTAGATGGATCCTCCATATCCAATAACCCTGTTAAAGCACCGTACATTCGCTAATTGTCCTCTTGATTTCGTAAACAACACCCTCGTTATGAGAAGGCAGTGAGTTGAACTTCCCTGTCAGTGGCTGTATACGTGTGGCCATGTGAGAGCACTTCGAGAGGGAGAGCGGACTCCCCACTCCCAGCTATAGCATGGCATTTGGGGTCTATGAGGTCGAGTGATTACAGTTATGCTTATCTTGTCTATCTGCAACCTTTAATGCAGTTTAGATATGCCTGATTATCTTGTTTCAGAAGCTCTGCACATTCAAGAGAGTTTTTACGGAATAATGGGGGTTTTTTGGATTAAGTACGCACCTAACGATCTTTCTTATTTAATATCTTAATGAGTGTATTCTGTTTACTAAAAAATCCACTTAAATCATACTGAATCTCGACCGTATTAGGTAAGCTGTTCAACATTCTCAGATTTGTCGTCTGAAGTAGAAGCAGGTCGAATCGACGTACGGTTCATATAGATAATTAACTGTCACTTGAAACCATACGATTTTTGGAACAGCCTGATTCCAGGACTATCAAAAACCCTTTATGAATTTAATTAAGATATTGTCTCGAAGAAACCTCAACATTATCTATCTTTCGTTAAGATGAGGGCCATTTTCTGGTAAGGATTTCAAAGAAACACGATCAAGATGTTACACAAACCAAAAAGCCAAGTATATTCAGCTCTTCTGGTGGCATTTAGCACACACAACATGAAGTACTGAAGGACTAAAGGGGTTATGATAGTTGTCAATCACATTCCT